TGGTCTACTGCTTGTCCTGGGCAACTGTTCGTTTTATAACGTCTCCGTTGGTGTTTTAAATATATCGAAAAACTTTGTCCAGACATTTAATACATGGTTGTTCTGTGGTTGGCACAAAGTGAAGGCGATTGATCTGTCTGGAAACCCGTTGGAAGTTAAACAGGACGAGGCACCAAGTGATGTTGACATTTTAATTGCAGATACGTTCAGAGTCTGCTGCATGTATCCTCAACCAAATTTATGTCAGTCTCAAGTTGATTTTTTTGCGTCGTGTTCAGATATGTTTATGGATAAAGTAATTAAGTACTCGTATTTTGGTATGGCTCTTCTTTCTGTGGTGTCCTCGTTGGGATTGTTAAAATCGCATTTTAGTTTTGAAGGACTGTTTCCGATGAAAGAAGTTGCTGTTGCATTGAATGTTATTGAAATGCAAACGATTATACCAGTTGTGATAATATTTGTTAACAGTATGCGAATGACAGATACTTATTCCAACATGTCTAATTCCTGGCGGAGGAGCCCATCGTGTCACGTTGCATCGTTTTTCTACATCTTTCCTCATGTTTGTGTTCCTTTAATAGTATTTTTTGCTGCTATACAGGCGATTATATTACGGGCTGCTGGAATCGAAAAATCACATGTGTTAAAGTGCACAATGTGCATTGGCATAATTATTGTCCTCACCGTGTCAGTAACATTTAGTGTTCTTTTGTCCATGGAGGTAGAAATCCATACTGGTACCTGTTATCCTTTCGTTTTAAGCAGTCTTATGACTGAAATACAGTATAATTCTTTAGCGCTTGAAATCACATATCTATCAATGTCTGTAATTTCTCTAACTACTTTCGAAGGAGTTTTTATGTATTTGTTGGGTTCTCTGAGATCTCCGTCATCCCTAACTGATTTTCGCAGTATTTGCTGCTTTTTGGAAATTGCCTTATCCGATGCCATACGCTGGTTCCCGTTCACAGTGTCGTGTTTCTTGCATTTAAAGAACAATCCGGTGTCTGATTACGCTGCACAGTGGGTGCAGTTAGTTATGCTTAACATGCGACCCGTCGTATGCGCCTTTATTCATATTTGTTTAGGGCCTTTGTGGAAGAAGGTTGAGCGTTTCTTTGTACAGGCAGGGGTTGGGTCAAATGGTCAACCGGCACTGGGGAGGCAAAGGGTGGGGTCAAGAGATGAACAAGAGGATTCGCGATTATAGAATAAATATGAACAATCCGTGTACACCATAAAGATAAGTGTATTTTCTAAGATGCCTCGTTGTTCTTGGTGGTTTTCAATTTTATGCACCTGGTTTTAAAATCATATAGCAATTTTACGACAATCGTTTTCTATCCAGTCAAGGTGACAGCCGTGCGTGGGCTCATCCTGTCGATGTTCTGACTGATACTCCGAAATGCGATCTGACACACACCTTGAAAACGGGTAGTGTGGTCCGATATACCGGTTAATTCAGGATCCTTAGGTGCCGAGTCTGGTAGTTGGGTAGGCCTGTGCATATAAGGCTGTATTGTTGCAATTGGAAAAAGAAGTAGTCATGATTCGAATATAGATACTATATACTCTATTCGTGACATTGATCTCTGTAAAAATGAGTGCTAATACGCGTTAAAACATTTTCTGTCGTTTGAAAGAACAATTTAATTGATGTATATTTTATAAATGTTTAATATAACAATTTAATTGATGTTCATTTCATATTTTATGTAACTGTCTTTTAGAACCTTTTACATTAAAATGTAACACAAATTTTACTTGTAATTATTGTTGTTGATATTTCATGATAACTGGTCTCATTTCTTTTGATTTACTGTATTATCTGAATGTAATTATATAATTATATAATTTTATATAACTGGAAATCTGAGGCTTAGGATAGGAAACAATGGAAAAAGCATGCTGAGGCCTTTGTCCAACAGTGGAACACTATAGGCTCTAAATGATGATGATGATGAATTATATAATCAGATTTAACGTTTATGCATTTTGTAAAGTACTATTTTAATGATGGACTTTAAGATATTGACAATGTTTAAAACATTACCGCTATAATCATTTACCAGTAAACCGTCAGTGTCCATTAATTATGTGTATAAAAAGTATCTTCATCAAGTTATTGTTTTACTTAATTTTCTATTTTTACCCCCACTTTTGCAGTGACACGCGTTTGTTCAAGGCATGCAATCACCACTAAAAGTGTATTTTTCAAACGATGCATTAATGAAACAAGTATACACTGTAAAAACAGTGTTTAGCTCCTAAACACATTTCTAAGCGCCTGTTTTGTCTCACTTTTTCCACGCGTTTAGCTCCTAACATGCTTAGCTTCTTAACATGTTACACGCTTGTGTTTAGCAGTATGACGCGTTTGACGGCTTATAAATGTAGGGTGTATTTGTTTAACTTTTAATTGCTAAGGGTTTCAACTGTTTTAGTTGCACACACGCGCGCACACACGCGCGCGCACGCACACACACACGAACTCACGGTCACCTTTAACTGCTATAGTTATTTCTTTCTATAACAGGGCACAGTGAACTGTCAACATCGTTTACTTCCCACTATCATCTTTACAGTTGTACTTATTCATCCTTGTGTTAGCTGACCTTGCGAGGAAGTTTATTGGAATGTATTTCTGAAAAGCAGGTTAGGAAAATTCACTAGTTCACTAAAGGCACGAAACAACTATCACTTTTACTTTAAAACACCTTTCTCCATATTTTGATAAAATGCGTTACGGTATTGATATCTATTATTTTTTTCCGGAAGTTATGAACAATAGAACATCAGGATGATGGTGGGGTATTCATTATAATACTTTATTTAAGCTTTCATCACATGCTGGTTATTTCGGTACCGATAGTCCGAATAGTCGCCGACTAACCCCAAGCCCATTTTGGAATTAACCACTTACTGTAGTTCAAACAGCATAAGACGTGTTTTGGCTATTTATATGAAAAATGTTTTCAAAACATTATATAATGTTTTTCCAGAATGTTATAAACACGCTGATAAAACTCCACAAAATGACGTTACATGTATCATAAAATTTTGTAGAAACGGTCTTCGAATCTTTTTACAAATTATAACATTACTGTACATCATTTTGCATGGGGTTAAAACACCCATAACGTTACAATAATGTTCTTCTATACCATTACCAGAATAACTATCGTGAAAACGTTATTTGTTATTTGGATTATTACTTAAAGGTACATATGAACCGAGTATCGGTGGAGCGTGGGTTGCCAGTAACACAAGAAACCACCTCTACTAGATTCTTATACGCCTCAAATAAAGTCGACATGCCAAGGGACAAACTGAATAAATCACTCGACCAGCCATAAAAGAGCTTTAGACTGCTCTTTTAATTTTTGGTCAGAAATTTAACCTACTTACAGTGTATGTGACCTACTTTTCTGCCCCATGTATATACAGGATAGTAAGCTAACAGAAAAATCCATTCAAATATCATTTTTCGGGTAATATTAATCAATGCCTTCTGGCAATTTCTTTAATTATGCTTTTTGAAACTATATACTGGTATTTGGTTGGTTTTTGAGCAAAAAATTGACTTTGTATGCATCTTTAATAGGCCTATTTTAAATAAGCACGCGTTACTGCAAGGAAGGACACCAAGCGTTCGAGCAGACTGCTCCACGCCTTCACCAGCTCCACACGTTTACAAGGGGAAGTGTTAAGCCAAATTGTTGAGCCTTGTAATAAACTTATGGGACCGGTGAAACTAATCACATAGCTAAAAGTGCGACACTTCTAAGAATGTTANTTCAAGAGGGGACCACTGGTGTGATTTTTTTTTTTTTCAGAAATCGAAGGAGAGGAGGGGGTCAGGACCCCCTGACACCCCCTAGATACGCCACGGCAGTTGTAGCTGGTAAGGCTAGGGCTGAGCTGGTTAGGGTCTACCTGCTTACTGATTGCACTCTCAATTTCCCACAATGCAGTTCGAGACCCCCCCTGAGGCACAACCGCAAAGTGAAGCATAATTTATAAGTGCTGATATTGCAATGAGGTCAAACAAAGAAAAATGTCACAGTAATATTCAACCATTTCGCTCGTAATTGAGATAGAGGTCGTAATAATGAACTATTGATCAAAATAATTTATTTAGCACAGGAACTTTTTGCAATGAAACGCTTTCTTACTACTAGCACGCCTTCTATAGAAACGGGTTTTATACAACACACTTTATGAATAAATACAAGTAAATGGATAAAACCCCTTATATTCGACACTAATCATTTGCGTTTTCACATTACCCTATTTGCAAATTTTGCTTACTCATACCCTGCGCAGAGGGTGGATTAAAGATGACATTAAGCTATCTGACCTTGCAAAGACCCTGCAAATTTACCTCTAGTATAGGATAGATATTTAAATCTTGTCGTCCCACGTACCATGAGCAGTGCATCGCAGCGTCATCTTTTTAAGGATATTGTAACCCTTCATTTTCATACGGATGCCGGAAATGAGGTTTTTCCTGCATTTAATTATTATGCATATAATGCATGTATCTTTGTTTTGATTTAAGAAAATAAAAACCCTCGAAAATATATAACATCGGCTTATATATTTTTTCGTTGCAATGCATAAGCAACTAAAAGCAACTCAAAGCTTTAATCGTCAATTTAACACCTTTCTATCTTGTGGTGATCGAGATAGCAATCTATATAGGGCGTAACTTCATCCTGAAAAAGAATTTATCACGAAGATTGGCAGAGTTGACCAGGAATGTTTAAGCTACAATCCTGTGGATTTAAGATGACATAAAGCTCTCTGACCTTGTCCGTTAAATCCTGCAAATTAACCTCTGGTATAGAATAGATATTTTAAACTTGTCTTCCCACGTGCCATAAGCAGTGCATCCCAGCGTCCTCTATTATTAAAATTTGCATGTGCTTCATTAGTGATCGTTTTATGAGTCATCTCTGAAGATGGTATCAATATTTTTCTACTCAAAGTTTACAATATCACAGCTTGGCTTTTTTCACCCGCAGAGCCCTCTTTCGCAATTCCTCGCGTAGAACTCTACGCAGGATTTTCCCACTTGCAGTCTTTGGAATTTCCTCAACAATCTCAACTCCGCCTCGAAGGCGCTTAATGGGGGCAGCTTTAGCTGAAATATATATTATATTGTACAAATACTATTTTAGAAGCTATATATAATACCCAACATAGACGGCTGAACAAATAAATATAAATGATTTTACAAACGCCATAGAAGTTCCACTTTTATAGAGATAGCAGCCTGTGAAACAACTTTGTAGATTATACATTACGAAATTACAAATAATCTAAACTTCCGCAATAAAAGTATTTAAGGAGAAGATGAAAATTGTTTATCAAAGTTACCTGCTAAAAAATTAGCAATCTCCGTTTCAGTGGCTCTTTGTCCCGGTTTGAGGACAATGAACGCCATGGGCAGCTCTCCGGCGTCTTCGTCAGGACGTCCAACTACCGCAGCGTCCGCTACGGCAGGGTGCGATAACAACAAGCCCTCTAGCTCTGCTGGTGCCAACTAACGGGTATAAAAGAATATAGTCACTATTTTAGTAGGTCAAATATGAGCACAGTAATTAGAAATGCTTAAATTTCGTTCTCAGTATTTCTCCTTTTAACTTAGCATTTAACGATTAAATAATCCATTATAAGGCACAGAATTACCTGGAACCCTTTGTATTTGATAAATTCTTTGATTCTGTCGATGACGTAAATGTTTTGGTCTTCGTCATAGTGGCCGATGTCACCTTAAATATTATTATTACAAGACGATAACATGTAATAACTTTATTATAAAAACGACATAAATAGAGGGAAAGAACATTGTTAAAATTACGTAGAGAGTATTTGTCTGGTGTCATTATCTAAATGACTCGCTAGTGACATAAAATATCGTAAAATTTAATAAACACACGAAAAATGCAGTTCGACTACCCCAAACGAAGCAACGAAAAAGGTTGCTGCAGATACCGGCGCAGACAGCGAGTCCTGTTCTGAGCTACCTCCCTCACCTCATACTCTCAGACTTCCAAATGAATGTGACACGCGTTCTAACACGACTTCTTTGGGAGTAAATACCAATATATTGGGCTGTAGTGTGCGTCGGGAAGATATAACACCCTCCCCCACCACGGCCCTACAGAAAGTTGCTAAGGTAACTTACCGCTGTGAAACCACCCCTCCTCATCAATGGCGGCATCCGTGGCTTCGGGATTGTTCAGGTAGCCTTTGAAGATTTGACATCCGCGGAAGCAAAGTTCGCCATCTTGGTTTGGACCGAGTTCCTCTCCGGACTGCGGGTCTAAAACCTGAGGGAAAAGATTACTTGTCAAAAGAGAGTGTAATTATTAACTTTTTTTTTTTGCTACAATTTATTTTACAAAAAGATCAATAAAAAAGTAACATTTCTGGCGGGTTATCATTCCACACGTGGAGTGCGTCACTGACATAAAAGCAAAGGTGGCCAAATGCAATCCATTAGTTATCTGCACAAACTTTTCTCCTATATACATGTATTTTGTTCGCAGAGAGAGGTACATGTAGGAGTAGTTAAAAGCTTTTTGTTCCGTATTCCGTGTTCCTCCTCTGTAAACCGCCTTAGTAGCGAGAGAGAGATTCACCTTACACTCTGTGCTTGCAACCAAAAGACCAACAGAACCGGACCGAAACGTTCGCACGTCTGATTGAGGCAAGGAACATGCCGGGCTGGCTTCTGTCGCACCATACCCTAAATTTATAGATAAGTACATTCCTAGTATATATATTAGGATGTATGTAGGTATTTTAACTTAAAAGTTACACATACACAGCATATATCGACCTCATTGATTTACTCAAAGCATTGTATAGTGCAGCTGCATACTTTGTTGCTTTTATACACATAGAGGGACCGGGGCTAATTGGAACCCAGGGTAAGTTGCCCCCCCCCCCCCATCAATTTATGACAAAGTGACTATGGGGTAAAATAATTGATCACATCATTTTGTAAAGTGACCGTATCCAATAGTGCGAAGAAGGCGTCGGCAGTGAGTCTAAATGAAATAATTTAGCATCTTAAAGTACCTTTATTAAAGAGACTTGATGGGGAGCCAACTTTCCCCTGGGTCCAACTAGCCCCGGTCTCCCCTACTCCCTACTTGTCCTATCATGGTAATATGCTATCCAAGACACTGCGTGAGTTAGAGTAAAATTCCAGTTAAATGTCATGCACGCCAATACTGTTTATACGTGCATCTTTAATTTGGCAAACAATAGAAAAGCACTCAGAAAGCGCATACTTCAAGCAATTCAGCGCAATTCTCATTATAAATTGACAAATGACAAAATTAATCGATTCTTAGTTAGCCCATTTCTGACCCATCCCAAAAATTTTATTAAAATTCGCCAATAGCTTCTTAATTTCACAGTTTACTAACAAAGCAGCAAAGAAGAAAACATAACTTTCTTGTTGGCGGTGGTAAATAAAATGGGACGTCTAGGCTATTGCTAGTTTGTATGATTCCGTAGAGAATGGCATCAAATCAATGAAATAACAGTGCGTTTCAACAGTGAACTGCACAACAACTTGTGAGATTTAAAAAACAGGAATATTTAATAGTTTTGAATAATAAAGTAGGGTATAAAAAACAAATACCTTGTACAACTTTGCATGTCCTCAGACGCGATTCCAGTTTCTGTTCAATATCTTTGCCCAATGGTGCAGCCCCTGACATAATTACTTCGACACAGGAGAGGTCGTATTTGTCAACCAGTGGGTGTTTAGTTAGCATCACGGCTATGGGAGGAACCACTAGTAGGTAGCGGATCTATGTATACAGAGTATAACTGAATAGATGGTTGCCGTTATTTCCTGGCATTTTGGGGTCGCAGCCCAAATGAGTGTGAGCAGCGTTGATAACGACACACATTTTTGATAATCAATGTGAAAATAATTATTTAAGAATTAAATTTTTGTTTCCAAACGGAGTTGATAAATCTACCCGAGAGAGAGAAAGAGAGAGAGAGGTGAGGCAAAGATACCTTATATTTTTCGATGCAAGCAAGAAATGTTTCAAAATCGAATTTCTGCATGCAAACAACTTTTTGTCGGGTTTTCAAACCACCAAAGAGAATAAGTATCAGTCCAAAGACGTGAAAGAAAGGCACGAATCCTAGAAAACCGTCGACTCCCGGGCGTCCATAGGACAAGAAATCTCTGAAAACGTATAATGTGTCATAAATATATGTGGCGGTAAAGAATATATGTACGTGTGGGATGTACAATTTTTGTAAGTAAAAATACCAAAGACAGCTTGGGATGTACAATTTTGGTAAGTTAAAGTACCAAATACAGCATGTATTCCAAAATTACTCTACAATAATAGGAAAGAAAAGAAAAATACAAAAGTCCTCAGAAGCATTTGAAAATTCATGGATGGCTGAAAATTTTGAATGCCAGCGAGAGAGCGAGCAAGCACAGAAAGCCAGAATGAGGAAGAGAAAAAATAGACCCTTACAATTGTAACATTGCATTTACCTAGAATACAAACATTGACAATCTAATTGCCTTTTAATTGCCCCTTACTTCATTTGTACAAGATTCCCCACTATGTTACGATGGGTGAGCATGACGCCTTTAGGTAGGCCTGTCGTGCCACTGGAAAAGAGGATGATAGCGACCTCTTGCGTTGAGATATTTACGCCATTGGGAAAGGCATAGCCGTCGTCTCGAAGCAAGTCGTCGACTGTCTTACATCCGGGGGCGTTTCCGAATACGTAAACATTCTTGAAAGTAAGTTATGTATTTGTCTTGAAATAGTTATTTACAAACATTAATTGCTTTGACTAGAACGCAGATTTAGATTTCCACTGACAATTAGGTCATGCATGTGCTCAATATAGGTAGCGTAACTGGTTGCCAATTAAAGATTTAATAAGACTTCAAGTATCATTTCCCCGTAACTCCCCATTTCTCTTTTGATATTTATCTTATTTTTATCTTATAATAATCTAGTTTTCGGTAGCCCACTAAACTTTGTAGGAAAGCCAACATTTCACAAAAAAATATTAAAAATTAAAAATAGAAAACATTTATGTTTGTATGTACCTTAATTCCATTTTCTGAAGCAGCTTGCAGTGCTTTCTCTGCGGTTTCTGATGCAGCCATTAAATACTGTGGTCTGACAATCTGGAGTTGCTTACTTAGTTCATCTTACCATGAAAAATTAAAAATGACATCCATAATTTAGAGATACTTGGGCCGCAAAATTTTTGCGACTAAATGAAAAGAACAGAAAACGTATAAAAAGACCAAAAACGCAAAACCCTCATCCAGGCGTAAATCATTTTTTAAAATACAGATATATAAATTTTCACCAGTGTAAATTCACTAATTACACGGAATTAATGGTAATATTTGAACGGCTTATTTATTTATTTATTATTTTTGGCCTAAAGTGGTGTTAAATTTAAAATATTCACATCATTATTCATATATATATATATATATATCACATACAGTATATTCATCGTCTCACCCGTTGTGTATGTAGGGTTGCTAGTGGTGATGACCCCTCCGACCGAGAGAACCCCCAACACGATAAAACCATACTCGGGGGAGTTCGAACTGTACATGCACACTACTTCCCCCTTCTTGAAACCCAACCGAGTGAGCGCGCTGCCGATTCTGCGCACTTTGTCCTTGACGTCAGCAAACGTAAACCTCGTATCGGTCTTGGCGTCAACCTTCATGTAGAGAATGAGGATATTATAAAGTAAAGTAAAATATGGTGTTTTCCATTTGTAGAGAACAGCGTTTGACTGCAAAGCGAAGGAGAGGTCAAACCCTCTTCATCATTCCTGCAAAACAAAAAGAAAGAAAGAAAATGGATCCACTTCCTTCATAAATAACATTTTGAGTAGGCGCGGAATTAAAATAAATGTTATGTTCTGTCGCTTCAAATGCGCAGTTTTCCTGATGTGGAGAAGACCTGAAGTATGCTGATATGGAAATAGATTCAACATAAAAAATGCACTACTAGGCTCAGCGTGTTGATATAAAGGTGACATTTGTCTCCTACTTTGCTGGAGAGAATATTAATTGCGATGCGAAGTGTACATGTTCACGCCAGAAACATTAAAAACCCTTAACCTCATTTTCCGCTCAGATTCGTCGCCTAAAACTCACAATTCAAGCGATTCGTTCCACTTCATGAACTCGGTACTAGTAATCGCTTACCAGGGCTTGTATGAGGTGAAATGAATACAGATGAACATATGCCCCTAGTTTTCGAAACCCCTGGCAATATAAGCAACAGTGCATAAACATGCACTTTAAACGTGACTACATCATCTTAACTCCAAACGCATCCACTTTCTCTCGCGTCACACAGGCTTGGGCGTTGGGCAGAATTTCCATTGACAACTTCTTTTTTTAAGTACTTCTAGTACATGTAGCTAAAGATACATAAATATCTAAGTCATTGCGATAGGTAGGCTACTGTAATGCCGCCTGTAAAGTAATGTATGACCTAAATAAGTGAAGTTTTTTGTAATCTGACCTAAAACATATAAACACAATTGTGTACTTGATATTATTAAATAACACAGAACATTTAGAGCATCTCTTCCTTCTGCTATTACCCAAATTACCTATCTAATGGATATTTTGGAGAGAGAGAGAGAGAGAGAGAGAGAGAGAGAGAGAGATTACCAGGGCCACGCAGTCTGCATACAGATCTATATTATCCAGTAAATATGTCACCACATCCACCTCGGGTACCGTGATTTCAGGCAGTCTGCTACGGATTCCCATCGTCTCTTCTCCAGTTCACCATACCAACACAGCTTACAAGACGTCTTCACAATGAATCCTTCACAATGACACTTGATAAATTCCGGACTAACATGTATATATGTTCGTCGTCTGTATTCGCGACCAGTATTAATCAAACGAACCAACTTTATACAAGATTCGGTGTCATATATCTGGTGACCCTATGGCTATTTTTAAAGTAACATTAACTTAACATCGGAAAACAACCATGAACAAGGGCTGACATAATGACGGGTTTACCTCACTGTATGTAGGGTTGCTAGTGGTGATGATTCCTCCTACCGAGAGAACCCCCAACACGATTAAAGCATACTCGGGGGAGTTCGAACTGTACATGCACACGATGTCCCCCTTCTTGAACCCCAACCGCGTGAACGCGCTGCCGATTCTGCCCACTTTGTCCTTGAAGTCAGCAAACGTAAATCTCGTTTCATTCTTGGCGTCAACCTATATATAGAGTATGAGGGTGTTTAAGGCAAGAAAAAATATGATACTATGCAGAGAAAAATATTTGACAACAAAGCGAGGGAGGGAATAAACCAAATCGTTTTTCGACATTCGTCATTCTTGAAAAATGAAAATAAACTTGGCATCAAGGTCTAATATCCCATTTTAAGTTCAATTTCACTGACATATTATGAATTTTCCCTAAAAGGTTTGAACTATTCCAATCAACAGAATACCAATGTTGATGAGGTCAACATAAAGAAATGCACTTCTGGTAATATTCAACCAACTCACTGTTTTGATATAAAGGTAGATTCATATCAAATCACTGTATAGATCTTTAAGAAGTACATGTAAATAAGTTATAATAGGCCTACTTAGGCTACTAATTTTTTGAATCCCTGACGAAGGCCTAGGGGCCGAATGCTCGGATTACAAATTACATCTTTATAGTAGATCTTCATAGTTGCATCAGTATTATTACTAATTTAAAGGTAGCATTTAATACCCATTTGCTGGAGAGAATATTAATTGCAGCTGTACATGTTCACAACAGAAACATAAAAAACCTTAACCTCACACTTTGCTAAGATTTGTCGTCTGCATACAGATCTAAATCATCCAGTAAATATGTGGCCACATCCACCTCGGGTACCGTGATTTCAGGCAGTCTGCTGCGAATTCCCAGCGTCTCTTCAGTTCACAATACCAACACAGCTTATAAGACGGCCTCACAAAAGTATTCAAAAAGTTCAGGACTAAGATACCAGAACGTGTGTCGTCTGTTATCGCGACTTCTATTCTTCAAACGAACCAACTTTATACAACTTACATGATTTGGTAATTTGGTAATAAATCAAATTTTTTGACGGCCCAATTGCTATTTTTAAAGTACCACTATCTTAATACGTGGGTAGGTAAATAAAAAATCTTTGAAAAGGTGTATTTCTAAAAGGAAATTTGATGCTGAACACAGATCTGACAACCATTTATTTTTACTACTATCAGGTCGGTAAATTTGACAATTTTCAAAATGGCAGACAAAAGGCTCTACCAAGAGTTCCATCAACAACATTTAAAGGCACTACAGTGTGCCGTATGTCTTTTCTTATTTTTTAGGGGCTGTAGCATCCATTTCTGATGTAACTACTGCGATTGGTTCATTTCAGAGTGATTTCAGTTACTGGTAATTATACGTATATAACATGTGCAACAAGAGTTCAGCTAGTTTGAAAGTAAATCACAACTTAATTGATATTATAAGCCTTTTTTCCCCAAAGCAGTGTTCAACAGGCATATGTCTCCACGTCCAGCTGTTGGATTAATCTGCCTGTTGCTAATATTGTCCACTCTTTGTACTGTATAAGGAAAATGTGTGTTCAGGTTGATAGGGATTGAGTGATCCGCGGTTCATATTAAAGAACAGACCATGGGCGTTAGAGCTTGATAAGGAAAATTTTAATTTAGCTGCGTTGTCAACATTTACTCCTAGTCGACAAGGCGTGCCACGCACAGTGCAGAACCACGTACAAAATTGCGATCCACTCGTGGCTCGGTTCTAGATTTCTTGTTTTTAAGTGACTCGTTACAGAAAAGGAGAAAGTGGCGGTGCCGAGAGCAGTCCATGGTCATATGTCCATGCTTTATTAATAATCGTTTTATGTGTCACCTCTAAAGATTGTGACAATTTAAAAAACAAAGTTTACAATATCATAGCTAGGGTTTTTTCAGCTGCAGTGCCCTCTTTCGCAATTCTTCGCGTAGAACTCTACGCAGGATTTTCCCGCTTGCAGTCTTTGGAATATCCCGGACAACCTCAACTCCGCCTCGAAGGCGCTTAATCGGGGCAACTTTGGCTGAAATATATATTATAGTTTACAAATGCCATATAACACACCATATATAATACCCAACATGGACGGCTCAACACATAAATGAAAAAAAACTATAAATGTTTTTACAAAAGCCAAAGTAGTTCCACTTTTATATAGATAACCACTTTATAGATTATACATAACAAAATTACAAAAAAAAAAATACTAATAATAACTTTCGTAACAAAAGTAAGTAAGGAGAAGAAGAAAAATGTTTATCAAAGTTACCTGCTAAAAAACTAGCAATCTCCGTTTCAGTGGCTGTCTGTCCCGGTTTGAGGACTATGAACGCCATGGGCAGCTCTCCGGCGTCCTCGTCAGGACGTCCAACTACTGCAGCGTCCGCGACGGCATGGTGCGTTAACAACAAGTCCTCTAGCTCTGCTGGTGCCACCTAGCGGGTATAAAAGATATAGTCACAATTTAAGTAGGTTAAATATGAGCTTGGTAATTAGAAATGCTTTCGATCTCGATCTCGGTCTCAGTATTCTCCTTTTTAACTTAACAATTTCTAATAAATAACCCTTTATAAGGTGCAGAATTACCTGGAACCCTTTGTATTTGATGAATTCTTTGATTCTGTCGATAACGTAAATGTTCTGGTCTTCGTCATAGTGGCCAATGTCACCTTAAATATCATTATTATTACAGAACCATAACATGTATAATAACAAGAGGAAGAAAATTGGATCTAATACATTTATTATTAAAACGATATAAATACTGATTGTTTGCTGAAAATTAATGTCCATTTATTGAAAAACAAAATGGTAACTTTTCTAGAGTGATGTCTTTTTCTAAATAGCTCTCTTGTGAGATAACACATCGTTAAATCTATATACACATGAAAAAATGCAATCCGACTACCCCAACGAGGCAACGAAAGCGGTTGCTGCAGGTACCGGCGCAGACGGCAAGTCATGTCCTGAGCTACCTCCCTCAACTCTTGCCCTCAGACTTCCAAATGAATATGACACGCGTTCTTACCTGACTTCTCAGAGAGTAAATACCAGTATATTAGGCCTTAGTGCATCGGGCAGATATAACACCCTCCCCCATCACGGCCCTACAGAAAGTTGCTAAGGTAACTTACCACTGTGAAACCACCCCTCCTTATCAATGGCGGCAGCCGTGGCTTCGGGATTGTTCAGGTAGCCTTTGAAGATTTGACATCCGCGGAAGCAAAGTTCACCATCTTCGTTTTGGCCGAGTTCCTCTCCGGATTGCGGGTCTAAAACCTGAGGAAAAAGATTACTTGTCAAACGAAAAGTGTAATTATTAACTTTTTTTGCTATAATTTATTTTACAAAAAGATCAATTAAAAAAGCAACATTTCTTGCATTTATCATTCCACACGTGGACTACGTCACTGATATCAAAGCAAGAGCGGCGAAATGCAATCCATTAATTACCTGCACAAACGTTCCACCAATATACATGTATTTTGTTCACAGAGGGAGGGTAAGAGTAGTTAAATATTTTTTGTTCCGTGTTCCTCCTCAGTAAACCCCCTTACTAGTAACTTCTTTTAGTAACTTATGTAAAGCTGCTTGCGTGTGTGTAAGAGAGAGAGAGAGAGAGAGAAGAGACAGAGAGAACTTTCTCTAGCAAGGACGTAATGACAGCGGACGCAAACATTTACCTTACAATCTGTGCTTGCAACCAAAACGCCGACGGAACCGGACCGAAACGTTCGCACGTCTGGCGGAGGCAAGGAACAGGACGGGCTGGCTTCTGTCGCACCGTATCCTAAATTTATAGATAAGTACATTCCAAGTACATATTAGGATGTATGTAGGTCTTAAGTTACACATACACAGCATACATGTACATGTACCTCATTGATTCTCTCAAACCATTGTATTTTGCAGTTGCATATGCGCTTGTTTGCTTGTACTGTGGTATACACATCCCTACTTGTCCTATCATAATAATATATTATCGAAGACATTCCGTGAGTTAGTGTTAAATTCCAGTAAATATGTGGCAAAAATATAAAAGCACTCAGAAAGTTACACAGTTCGCTTACAAAGCAGCAAAGACAAAAACATAACCTGATGGCGGTGGTAAATAAAATGGGACTTCTAGGCTATTGCTAGTTTGTATGATTCCTTAGAGAATGGCATCAAATCAATGAAATAACAGTGCGTTTCAACAGTGAACTGCACCACAACGTGTGAGAGTTAAAAAACAGTAATATTTAATAGTTTTGAATAATAAAGTAAAAAAAGGTATAAAACATAATACCTTGTACAACTTTGCATGTCCTCAGACGCGATTCCAGTTTCTGTTCAATGTCTTTGCCCAATGGCGCAGCCCCTGACATAATTACTTCGACACAGGAGAGGTCGTATTTGTCAACCAATGGGTGTTTAGTTAGCATCACGGCTATTGGAGGAACCACTAGCAGGTAGCGGATCTAGGAAGACAGAGAATAACAGAATAGGTTCAGTACGTCTTTTCACTTTACTGAACTCGAGATGGTTGACGTTATTTCCTGGCATTTTGGGGTCTCAACCCAAATTAATGTAAGCAGCGTTGGTGACGACACACGATTTTGATGAAAAAAATGAAAATAATTATTTAAAAATAAAAAATGTCTAATTGCAAACCGAGTTGATGAATCTACCAGAGAGAATGAAAGAGAGAGAGATAGGGTGAGGCAAACTTACACTGTATTTTTCGATGCAAGCAAGAAATGTTTCAAAATCGAATTTCTGCATGCAAACAACTTTTTGTCGGGTTTTCAAACCACCAAAGAGAATAAGTAACATCCCAAAGACGTGAAAGAAAGGTAAGAATCCTAGAAAACCGTCGACTCCCGGGCGTCCATAAGACAAGAAATCTCTGAAAACGTATCATGTTACATAAATATATGTGGCCGTAACAAATACCTTGGGATATACAATTTTTGTAAGTATCAAAGACAGCGGGTACTGGCAAATTTCTTTACAATAATAGGAAAGAAAAGAAAAATACAAAAGTCCTTAGAAGCATTTGAAAATTCATGGATTGCTGGACAATTTGAATGCCAGCGAGAGAGCGAGCAAGCTAAGAAAGCTAGAAAGAGGAAAAGAGAGAGAAATAGACCCTGACAATTATAGTATTGCATTTACCTAGAATATAATTATTGACAATCTAATCGGTTTTTAATTGCCCCTTACTTCATTTGTAGCAGATTCCCCACTATGTTACGATGGGTGAGCATGACGCCTTTGGGTAGGCCTGTCGTGCCACTGGAAAAGGGTATAATAGCGACCTCATGCGGCGAGATCTTTACGTCACTGGGGAAGGCATGGCCGTCGTCTCGAAGCAAGTTATCAACTGACGTACATCCGGGGGTGTGTCCGAATACGTAAACATTCTTAAAGAAAATAATATAATTGTCTAGAAAAAATTAGTTACAAACGCAAATTGCTTTGAATAGAACGCAAATTTAGATCTCTGCTGACAATTTGGTCTTGTATGTACCCAATACTGATTACCAATTTAAGTTAAAAGACTTTAAGCATCCTTTTAAGTTAACTCCCCTTTTCTCTTTAGACGATTATTTTTTTTACCTTATATTAATCTAAATTTCAATTAAACATCGCCCTTAACCTTTATAGAAAAGTCAAAACTTCACAAAAAAATTGACACTTAGCAGAGAACTTTACGTACCTTAATTTCATTTTCTGAGGCAGCTTGCAGGGCTTTCTCTGCGGTTTCTGGTGCAGCCATTAAATACTGTGGTCTGACAATCTGGAGTTGCTTACTTAGTTCATCTTACCATGAAAAATTAAAAATGACATCCATAATTTAGAGATACTTGGGCCGCCAATTTTTTGCGACTTAATGAAAAGAACAGAAAATCTGAAAAAAAATCCAAGACCAAAATCGCAACAACCTCTAGTCGTAGGCCTACGTTTTTAACACAGATGTAAAAAATTTAATCATTTTAAATTCCCCAATCACACGGTATTAATGGTAGGACCTAATAGTTGAATGATATATATATATATATATATATATATATATATATATATATATATATATATATATATATATATATATATATATATATATATTTTTTTTTTTTTTTTTTTTTTTTATAACAAAAAGTGGCGTTTATTGTTAAATATGCACACCCTATACTCACCCTTGGTATATGTAGGGTTGCTAGTGGTGATGACCCCTCCGACTGAGAGAACCCCCATCACGATTAAAGCGTACTCGGGGGAGTTCGAACTGTACATGCACACTACTTCCCCCTTCTTGAACCCCAACCGCGTGAGCGCGCTGCCGATTCTGCGCACATTGTCCTTGACGTCAGCAAACGTGAATCTCGTATCGGTCTTGGCGTCAACCTTCATGCAGAAAATGAGGGTGTTATGAGGCAAAATGCGATGCGATGCGATGTGTACGTGTTCACGACAGGAACATTAAAAACCCTTAACCTCACATTCTGCTAAGATTTGTCATTTGGCAGAATTTCCACTGACGACATACTTTTTTTAAGTACTACTAGTACATGTAGCTAAAGATACATAAAAATCTAAGCCATTGCGACAGGTACTGTAACAATATATGACCTAAATTAGTGAAGTTTTTTTTATAATCTGACTAAAACCATGTAAACAAAATTGTGCTCTTCATATTATTAAATAATGCAGCACATTTAGAGTAGCTGTTCCGTCTGCTATTACCTAAATTTCCAAGCTAATGGATAATTTGTGTGAGAGAGAAGTGCGGGGCGACAGAGAGAGAGAGAGAGAGAGAGAGAGAGATTACCAAGGCCACGCAGTCTGCATACAGATCTATATTATCCAGTAAATATGTCGCCACATCCACCTCGGGTACCGTGATTTCAGGCAGCCTGCTACGAATTCCCATTGTCTCTCCAGTTCACAATAAAAAAAACACAGCTAACAAGACGTCTCCACAATGAATCCTTCACAATGACACTTGATAAATTCCGGACTAACATGTGAATATGTTCGTCGTCTGTATTCGTGACTTCTATTCTTCAAACAACCCAACTTTATACACGATTCGGTGCCATAGTCTTGGTGGCCCTATTCTAAGGGCTGACAAACCCTAGTGACAGATTTACCCCACTGCTTTACTTTGTTCTTTTTGATGTAATGAAAAATGTCTTGGGTCCAACAGAAAAAAAAACATCAGCTTTGTTTTTTAACGTAAGTTACAATATATCATTTTTTTCTTTATAAACAGCTTTATTTAGCTTAACTCAGTGAAATAACATGCGCCACTCCATTATGTCAATGTCCTTACATCACCTGTAGGTGACGAAGCTCTGATGACTCTTGCTCTCGGCTGACTTCTTGGCCTCGCATCACCCCATACTAAGTCGCTTACGGGTCATTCCGCAAAACATCAAACAAACAAACAAACAAAAAATATTGTGAGCATTCGAGTCATGTCAGTGACACACACATTTGTGCAATATTTGCACAAACCAGGCTTGACCTTTCGTTTGCTCTATTTCATACTACTTTACCCTCTTATTAGGAAGCAGTGACGGATTTAGAGGGGGGCAGGGGGTCCTGACACCCCCCCCCCCCACCCCCGTTCGGTTTCTGAAAATATATTACATCAATATTCCCCTCTTGAAATTAGAATTTTGACTAGCTAAATCATAGTTCTAAACCGTACCAACAGAGGGCACTGTTTGCTCTCAAAAACACCACAAATTTTTCGGGGCCCTTGAGCAAACCCCGAACCCCACACCAAAGGGGCGATGGTAGGCTTCGCATCCGAGGCCTGTGGTTTCGGACCCCCCCTCACCCCCCTTCAAATAATCTAGGGTCCGCCCCTGCCTAATCCTCTTTCGAGGTGGATACTTATTGTGCCTTCAAATAAACCAGACTATCATTCAAATGAAAATGATTTCAACAGCGCCCCCTCAATCAAAATGTGTCGAACCCGCCGTAATTTGCATAACAGAAAGTCGCTCAGCGCAGTGCGCACTACTCGTATCTTCTTGACTGGTCATTTGACAGCTGCACACTGTAAGGGCAGGACGCTGATATGTGTGATGAAGTCGCAGAGGCCGGAATTTACATTCAGCTTCGAAAATTGTAACAAATTTGTCATGTGAGTAAAAGCTTTTCATGTTTTTACGAGTTCAAACTACTACATAATAATTTCTTATTATTTTACTCGTTCTAAACTTTAAGTTGGCATGAGTAGTTGGCTGTATTTGAGAAGAGTTGCATAGTGATATTTTTAAAAATCTTGAAAAGCACGTGCTGCCAGTAAAGAAGAAAGTTATATTAGATAGTTTGATTTTTGGTGCCCAGATGCTGTCACTTCAATGTCACTCACTGTACGTGATTAGGCCACCTGAACACATTTCGTATTTTAGCTTCGTTCATAGTATATGTACTTGATATATTAGTGTGGACCTTCTCAGATGTCTACATAACAAACTGATCAATCGTTTAGTTTTAAAAAAGATGTCAATTGGAACATTAACGAGAGAAAGCTGTGTAAGTTTTTCACGATGACTTGATTGTGTATGTTAGCCGTCTAAATCTTGCATACAAACCCCGTTTAGTCGACTTTTCAGATTTGGTGTTTTTTTCGGCATGAGCAAAGGTCTTTCCTTTATAGTTAATCTAATCTTTAAACGGATTCTCTGCTTTCGAATAATGAAATATCGCCTTTTAAATGTTATTTTGATATTTCAGAACTGCAAACACCTTTGCCGAGATCCTTCAGAGTGCACGTGCGCCTGACTAAAGCTTTTATGGTCTCCGAGACGTCTTTTAAAACGTGCCGCAGATCCCGATCCATTCGCACCCGCAGATGCTATATGTTATTTTTATATTATACCGAAGGGACTGATCATAATATTTTTTAAATTATAACTTAGAGCATGCTATGTACATCGTTTCATTTGGAACCAATCCAGCGTCTTTTAAAATTCATCTCATTATACAATAGTGCAATCATAAAAGAGTTTAAAAATGGCATAAATTGCAAATCATAAATTTCAAAGTTGAGAGTAAAAATGCAATTTTCACGATGTTGAATCTCGGGTAAGATTGTTCATTTAGCTAATTAACTACCTTATCTACCTAATTTGCATTGTGTAAGTCAATTGTGTAAGTCAATTGTTAATATTTACAATTGTGAATGACAAGCAATTTATGAAAATAAATGCGCTTTTTTGGGGGTTGTTTTTTATTCGATCTGAAATACACAAAACTAAAGTAAGAACCTATACTATACTCTATTTAGAATGCATTTTTTCATCTTCAGATTAAATCTAAAAAATGATTTTAAATTTTATAAATGAAAAATTTGAAATTAACACAAAACAGTTTCATTATAATGGCACTAATTATTGAAATGAGTAAATTCTGTAGGTGCCAATTTTCAAATTTATCATTTCTGATATCGCCTGTCGGCCTATTCTTTGTCTATTCTTTGTCTAATGTCTATTTCCTCGTTATCTTTTATTATTTGAGCACATGACCCCTCCAGTTAATATTTAATTGTTTCTTGGTGGTTTTCTGTTATTATAGATGTCATATAATAAATAATATATTGAAAATTTAGTATTTGCTTGTAGATTGAAATGAATGATACTCGTATGATTGCACTGATACGAGAGAAAAAAA